CCCTTTAGTGACAGTGATGATACGTGTGTATAAAGGTCTAACTTGCTGCAGTACTAAGTATGGTAGCATTTCTGCAGTATTTACATTGTTTGATTCAATGTGACACACTGTGTTTCTGTGTGTGTAAGGATGTCATGTCTGTGGTACTAACTCATTTCCATATATTCAGGAGTTAATCCAGCAAATGGCTCCAGGAAGTGGTCGGTTTCATATCTTTTCAGCTTCTTCTGCCTCTCTTCTTCTTGAAAAGCTCCTTGCTTTGACCGAATGAATCGAATCAGCTTCTTCAGTTTGCTGAGGAACACGTCACACGCATGCAAGCAGACAGAAAATCAGACACACACACACACACACAAACACGCACACACACACACATTGGCATACATTTCTTTTTTTGGTCTTTAACCATGCTGATATGTTCATGTTGAGCTGGTACAGTGCAGAGGATTCATATGAGCCATTCCCTGCCAACTCACTTAGAGCCTCTCAGTTGAGGTCATGGATTTTTCTTGAACTAAATCAGGCAGAAATGTCCACTAAATGCCTAAACCATGGAATCTTGCAAAATCCCACAGCTCTACTCCAAATACTTATTCAGTTATATATTTTTTAAAAATAGGGCCCGAGTCTTAAATTTGTATATCTTCATGGATTCCTTTAAAGCATCTTGAAAGTTTTATCCCAGAAACCTCACAAAAAAGCTGGAACTTGTAAAATGACATCTTTAGTTTTTTAAATGGATATGAAGACATCCCCTTCAAATACAGTCCTTCCTGAAAAGAAATCCTGTTACGATGTCCTAAAAAGTGACTTTTCAGCTCCGAAGCTAAGTTTAGGAACACCTGGGACAGTCAGTATGATATGATATGACAAAACTAAACTGTTTCTACTCACAATTGGTTGGAAGTGAGTAAATATTAGCGGAGATATTAATTTTTGAAAATAAAAGTTTTTTTGTTTTGATGATAAATTCTAAATTTTTATTATTTTAATTGATGTACAAAATAAAAATAAAAAATGAGCACAAGCTATTGGCATGATTACAAGTTCCAACTTTTTCTTGAGGTTTCTGGGATATTCAGTACAAATAATCTGCCAAATACTGTGAAAAATAAGCAATTAGTGAGGCTGTAAAGATGCTTTAAAAGGATTGCAGAAGTTATCAAATTTAAAACTGAGGGCCTGTTTTCAAAAATGTATGACTCAAAAAGTATTTGGAGTAAAACTGTAGAATTTTGCAAGGCTCCATGTTTTGTTTTTTTTTTAAATTAAATGAATGAATGAATGAATGAATGAATGAATGAATGAATGAATGAACGAATGAATGATGTCTGATATTGGCTTTTTTTTTTCTACCTTGAATCAATGAAATAGTGGAGTCTGTTTCGTTCTGTTATGACATGGTCCATTACCAGATGGGGAGAAATAATTTATATTTTTGTAGGAAGTACCCAACACTATCCTGATTTCCAAAACAGATATAGTTTATATTTTGTTTTACCAGTTAAATTATGATGGCAGAGATCATACGTAGAACAGAAAAAGGGGCAATGATTTCCCTCTCACCTCTTATCATCGGATGCTATGAAAATAAAATAATGGTAATGTGAATTTAAGAGAAATAACTTGTTTCACAAAGCTGATTATTAAAATGGCTGCTGCTGAATATGTGAGAGTGAGCTGCACACAATTTAAGAAGACAAAAGAACTGCTACTAGATTTAATACACAAGATTTCTTTAAGTATTGATAAACTGTTGCTTAACTTTATAAGGAGCAGGTATTTAAGGAAGATTATTTATGTCCAGACCCTTTTTGACAATGTAATGTGTAATGACAAACATCAATTTAAAGTGAAATATACTTACGGTATTCCAATCTCAAAAAGGTTGTTCTGAATCAGTTGCTTTCCCAACATGGTGATACTCAGCTGGATGCACAGCTCCATCAGACAGCCTCCATGAGTACACTGCAAAACAGTCCCAAACGCCATCAAAGAGGAATTTAAAAATAATAACATTCTATGTCAGGATTTCAAGGATGTAAAAGGATAACAGGAAATAAAACAATTCATTAGTGTTGTGGGAACATGCCACTGATGTCTGCTTTTTTTCTTCTAAACACTTCACCTATGTCTAAATTGGCAAAGGTGTTTCTGTATTTTATTTGTGTTTTCTCAATGTGCAGTGTGCTGAACTCTCAGGACTGCTGAATGAAGGTGCTTGCATCCAGGTGGGAAGGACAGGTGCAGCTGAGGCTTTTGCCATACACTGACTGCAGCATGTACAGTATGTAGGAGATGTTAGAAAAATGGGGAGTATATACGATTCAAAAGCAGTCTTGGATGTCGGAGTAGAGAGAGGGGATGCTGACTCATCAATCTGAAGTGATCTGGGAGCAGCAGACACAAAGAACAGTCCTGAAAATTGGACAGTCTCTGACAGATAACCCAGTAACTATGGCATGAGCCCAGTACGGTGGCCCAGAAGTGTCACAACAAAACACAAGCCACAACACAACACAATAAGCCACAACACAACCAAATTAACCACAACACTACAAAATAAGCCACAACACAACCAAATTAACCACAACACAACCAAATTAACCACAACATTACAAAATTAAGCACAACACTACAAAATTAGCTGCAACACAACACAATTAGCTGCACAACTACAAAATAAGCTGCAACAGAACACAACGGCTGCAACGAAAGTTGTTTTGTTTTTGATTTTTTTTTACCCGGAAGTTATACTGTGAAGTGTGCAACACCACATGAAGTGGGCAGAAGCCGGAGATTGTTGGAAACAACTCGAGAAGTAAGTAAAATACTGATAACAAATAATGTTTACTAATAGCGCATACCGAGATTAATGGACACTATTTGCCATCAGTATTTTACTTACTTCACGAGTTGTTTCCAACAATCTCCGGCTTCTGCCCACTTCGTGTGGCGTTGCGCACTTCACAGTATAACTTCCGGGTTAAAAAAAAAAAAAAAAACACCTTCCATTTCAGGCGTTGTGTTGTGTTGTGGCTTATTTTGTAGTGTTGTGGCTTTTGTTTTGTTGTGACACTTCTGGGCCACCATAGCCCAGTGAATTAAAAACACACTCAGTTGACTAAAACAGTGTTCAGCTGAACCAGACACTCCACTAATCGGTAGTCTAGTAGGTGTCTTGCACATAAATGTTTATGCTCACCGACAAAGTTAAAATCCATAACACACACTGTACATAGTGACAGGTCCCAGTGTTTTTTTGGGAGGAGAGGCTGCAATATCACTAGGTTTGACAAAAGGTTTTGAGAAATTCAGGAAAACCTTTGAATACGATACAGTTAGAAGTTGAAACAGTTCACCAGTTACCAGTTATCCAGCCAGCAGAGTGCCATTACCTGTTTTTTCTAATGGCAGAGAAAGAAGAGAATCTAAACAATAGGCATAAATGAGAACTCAAAAACCAGACTGATGCAGTCCAGTGGTAGGGAACCTGAAAAGAGAGCAAGCACCTGTGTTACCCTGAAAAAGTAAATGTGTGAAAAGTGCCAAGGTCTTATCTTCTCTACCTGTAGTGTTTTTGTTTGTTTGTTTTTTGCCAATATCCACTGCAACGTGGAGAGCAGCCTGCTCACAAATAGGTTTTCTTTGTGCACCAGATGGGACATGCATTAGAAGAGTGAAGGTTACAGCTGGACCAAGTCAAGGTTGAGGCGATGGAGGATCGACCAGCCATAACTAACTTTTAAACAAAGAAAGAGCAGATTTTCATTCCCCTTCTGTAGTTCTGGAATATAACACCTTTACAATCCTCAGACTGGCGACCGGGCCCACTGTGATCAGCAGAGCAAAGAACACCAGGACACATGTTACAAGATCACAAAAGAAAAACATCTTCAAGGTCCATCCAGATAGTATGAGGTTTGTGTTCTCAGAAGGAATCAATATATACTGGGCCACATTTTAGCTAAGTGACTGGCCCACATCCTCAGTCACTATCAGAACTGCAAAGGACCAAATGGATGCCAGAAACGCCCTGACCGATTATTTAAAAGCCCCTCAGTTGTAATTGCAGTGTGTAGTTATGAAAGTTTTACTTATTTATTTATTACATTTAATCTGTAAAAATGTAAACCTTACCTCTTCCATCCTGTAAGATTCGAACACGTATAGGTAGCTTCCTGGTCTGCCTACCAGTCTAGGGAGAAAATAAAAGATTTAAGAACAGAAGCATTCTTTGTCTTTTATGACTTTGGTTAAATAAATGTTATTATTCAGTTGTTAGAACTACAGAAAAGGGCACTATAAAATTAGACTCATACAAATGTGAAGTTACCAACCTTCCCCTGAAGAAAGCAATGTAGATGATTGGCGTGAAAGCATTGAAAAACTTGAGAATGAAGGTCTTGAAGATGAGACGTTCTTCAAAGCTTTTGTCTGTTTTAGGAATCTCTAGAAGGGAACAGACAATTTGTAATGAAACACAGGCAGCCTCTTTATATAGTTTTTATCTGTTCTGTTGGATTTGTTTCTTGTAAAGCAACCTTGGGTGTTAAGAAGGAAACTTAGAAATAAAATGTTTTCATTATTATTATTATCAGTCAATGTAGAAACACCTGTCACTTAGGTAGTGAGGAGCAGTGCCACCGATATCCATTCATATTTTAGGATGGTCAGAGATGCACAAGAATGGACTGATGGCCAGCATCAGCTACCAACAGCACATCATTTAAGCTATTTGCATTGTTTTCAGTTGATCTGCCTTTTCTAAAACCTTAACTAAAAATGGGAGCAGAAACTGGTCTTAATTTTTTTTTTTAAGATCAGAGGAATTGAAATTTTCAAAAATGTAACCTGTGACATGAACTTTGGGTTTTGATCTTTTCCAGAGGCACTTTAGCCTTGTGGTATGTTTGCTTATGTATATTTTCATTTGTCCACGCCATCGAGAGGGAGCTAGCATGTTTAGTCTTAAAGGAAGTAATACACTCTAAGATGGAAGAAGTGTTCTTAAAATCATTCAGCAGCTCACTATCAGAAGGACGGTAGCCAGAGGCACTATTGGAAGATAAGGTCTGGCCATAACTTATTTAAGGCTGGAGCAAAATGACCTCTTTTCTGTTGCAGTTTTGTAGGTGTTCTATATATTGTGAAAGACAGAGAAGAAGATTTTTCTTTTCAAACACTTTGTTTATTGAGTTTTCAGATAAGCCAGCAGTTACAAAATTATTGGATCAGCAAGTTATTCGGCAGAAACATTAACAACAAAAAATAAAGACTGAAGCATGAAGGCACTCGCAACAATATCCGTTGAGTGTGTGAGCATTTATAAACCCACATACACTATATTGCCAAAAGTATTCGCTCACCTGCCTTGACTCGCATATGAACTTAAGTGACATCCCATTCTTAAGCCATAGGGTTTAATATGACATCGGTCCACCCTTTGCAGCTATAACAGCTTCAACTCTTCTGGGAAGACTGTCCACAAGATTTAGGAATGTGTTTATGAGCCGCTAGCCTTGCAATTAGTGGACAATCCATTGTACACCTGAGCCACACAGTAAGTGCGCTCTCTTTATTTAAAGAATCTCCAGTAGCTCATTGTTGGGTAGTGAGCTTCGTCTAACACCATATAAGATTAGTTTAGCTGGCTCAGTACTATATGCTGGGATGTTTGGTTGGGATGGCGGCAGGGCCAGCCTGTAGTAGCCTGAAGGAATCTCAATTTATTGAAAACAAAATGTAAAATAAGTGATTACATGCAAAAGTGTCAAGTTGCATGGGGATCACAAGTGCAGCCCTTTTCCTGTCCGACCACAAATTATCATCTGGGCTTTGACTCGACCACTCCAGTACATTAACCTTGTTGTTTTTAAACCACTTCCGTGTAGATTTGGCAGTATGCTTCAGGCCATTGCATTGCTGGGAAACAAATCTTCTCAAGAGTAGCAATTTCCTTGCAGACTGCATCAGGTTGTCCTCTAGGATTTTTCTAGATTTTGTTGTATTAATTTTACAGTCTATCTTTACAGCCTTCCAGGGTCTGCTGCCAGGAAGCATCTCCAAATCATGGTACAGTCTCCACAATGCCTTATAGTGGACATGGTGTGTTTGTCGTAATGTGCAGTGTTTTCCGTCCACCAAACATAAAGTCTAGTCTGATGGCAAAAAAGATCAATTTTGGTCCCATTAGACCGAAGAATCTTCTTCCAGTTGATGTAGGAGTCTCCCAAAGGCTTCTGGTGAACTCTAATCAGGATTTATTATGGGATTTTTTCAACAATTCTTCTATAAAGCATTGACTGGTGAAGAACCTGAGCGACAGTTGTTATATGCACAGTCACTAAAACTTGTAACTCCTCCAGAGGAGTCATACCTGTCTTAGAAGCCCCTTTCAATAATCTCTTTGTTGTACAGTTCCTTAGTTTTGAGGAGGGCCTGCTCTAGGCAGATTTATGAATGAGCCATATTGCTCCAACTTCTTACTGATGGATTTATCTGTACTTCAAGAGATATTCAATGACTTGGAAATTTTCTTGGATTCATCCCCTGACTTATGCTTTTCAATAACCTTTTCACAGATTTGCTTGCCATGTTGTTATGGTGTAGCTATAGCTAGGAGTACTGATTCACCAGTGACTGGGACTTCCAGATACAGGTGTCTTTATGATAGTATTCTTTAAGACACATTCACTGCACTTAAATGATCTCCATTTTCACTAATTGTGACCTCTAGCACTCACTGGTTGCAACTGTGTTGAATTGCGTGAGTCTCTTTAAACATGGTAAATACGTATGCGACCACTTATTTTTACATTTTTTATAGACACTACCACAAAGTCAATCATGGACCTTTGGTTTAAGGTGCTCTGATACAAAATACATGTATGAGTCACCTTACACTCAAATATGGTGTCTGTTATGGTCACTCCACCCATATTAAACATGCAAATGTACACGTACATATATTATTTAGTATTTTATGTCTTTACACTTTTGTCCCAGTGTGACCAGACTTGTATATACCTGAGAGAGACACAATCCTAAAATGGTTTTAATTTCATTTTTGGAACAGTATTTTTTGAATGTAACTGTCCTCAAATGCGTTAATTCATACTTTTTACCTTTTTTTTAAAATGTAAAAACACCTTAATTTTTTTTTCATTTTTTATTTTATTCAACTTTTATTTTACCAGGTAAATTAGTTGAGAACTAGGTCTCATTTTCAAATCAGGACCTGGTCCAGAGGCGGCAATATAATAATAATAATAATAATATTTTACTTAGTTCTTAGCAATTACTTTTTTCTGCTTATGAAAACTGAAACAGCTCATTCTGTTCGCTATGGATTGGAATTGGGATCAAACATTTCCAAAACCATAAACTTTACCATAAAATTTAGAAAGGCACCTTGTCTACCTTTAAACGTTGTATTTGACACTTTCAGTTTGTGGATACTGTTCTGTTCTCAGTTTTTAGCTCCCCTTTGTAGTCTATCAATTATTGTTTTTGTTCAAAAAGCCATAAGGTAGAACATGCACGTCCCAATGCCATATCAGGTGCATCAGGCCAAAAAAAGAAAAAAAAGGAAAAACAATGCCTTGAACATAGACTGTATAAAAGATAGACGTAGCAACAGGTCCTGAAAAATGAAGCCAACCCGGAAGTGTCAAAAACCTGCAATATCACTACGTCCACTAGCTGCTGGCTCCAAAAAGCCCTGGCTCCCATAGACTTGAATTGGAAAAGAAGTGATCACAGATCACGAAATACCGCATTCCTACAGCTCAGCATTTTTTTCTTATTAGTTTTCATGGTCAAATCCAGAGATCAGGTGGCCAATCTGAAGATAAATCAATACTGAATTTTTAAAAAATCGTCAAAATTTTGCGGGGCAAGGGGCGTGGCTGGCTTGATTGACAGTCGGCAGTGACCATACAGACGAAGCGAGCAGAAGGCGGTAAATGTGGGCGGGCAGAGAGGGCCTGCCTCTCAATCCGTCTGACCAATCACTGCTCCTATGGCTCCGCCCCCCTCCGACGATTTTTGCGTCACTGGCTCCAAAAATCCAAGATGTCAACCAGGAAGTAGCAAAACCCTGGCTTCATTCTCTCAGTGCAGAAACCAACGGGTGACGTCACGGTAGCTACGTCCAGCTTTTATACAGTCTATGGCCTTGAACCTAATAAAGTAATTTGTATATCTCACTCACCCAGCACGGTCAGCCATCGTGCCACAGCTCCGTATACCTCATCCAGTATGAGGATGACAACCAGGTTGATGATGGCTGCAGTGGTTTTCACCGTCAGTTGAACATGGTTCCTTGTAATCAAACTGGAGCTCATATGAAGAGCGGCTTTAGTGGAAATCCGGTAGAGGATCACACCAAACACAATGGCAAATGTAACACCAATCTGACAGTGAGAAGTTTATACGATTACAAACAGAACAGCAGACTGAGAGGAAGGAACACAGGAATTCCACAACATTTCTACAAAGCAACAGTGAAATGCAGTGTATTGAAAGGCTCAGATTTTTCTTACCATTAACAGCATCATGACAACGTTAGCCATGTAGGCAGGGAGGCGGTCTCGACATGTGAGCTTTTCCATCTAAAATAAATAAGCACATAAATAATGTCATTGCAACATGGCCTTCTCAAGTCCTGCTACAAAACTCTCAATTGGACTGTGGTCTGGGTTTTGTCTTGGCTGCTCCTGAACATTCAGATCGTCTTTAAATGGAGATCTTTAGCTGAGGTTCAGGAACAGGACCATACCTTAACCACTCCCCTTCCTGTTGTACAACTACACATATCACTCTGCCCTTCCCCTTTGTTTGTTCTCACTTCTCGATACATTTGTACCCTATGACTTATATCCTACATTCATCTCTGTACCAATGGATCAGGACTTGGACTGTCTGTTCCTTATAATATGGAGATGTTATGTAAGATGAATTACAATAAATTCAACACAGCTTTTTTTGACTGATTAGTTTGTTTTTGAAAGTCATTCTTTAGTTTATCAAATTCCTGAAAGCATTAACTTGACCAGGACGGAGCCAAACAGGTGTGGCTGCAGGCTGTCATGTGAGTTAGATGGAAACTAAGTTATTTTTTTGGCCTTTATTGATAGAGCAGTGAGAGAGAGACAGGAAAGTTGGGGAGAAGAATGGGAGGAGGACATGTGGGAAAGGGCCATTAGCGGGATTCAAACTCATGACCGCCACATCGGGACTGTAGCCCTGTACCTGGGACACCAGCTCAACCAGGTGAGCTATAGCGGCGCCCCGACATTCAATCTGGTTTAATAATTCTTACAAATACATCTTAATGCTACTGTGACATATGACATACAGGACACAATTTAATTAACCGCAGAAAAGACGGACAAATCAAGAGACTGGGCAGAGGGTGTAGCTGCAGAATCTCAGATGTGGTCATCAGACAGCTGACAGGTAGATTTAGGCCTACAGAAACATTCTTTGAGCACAGAAAGCAATTGGAATGCAACATAAAGTGCTGTAAAACCAAACAAATAACCTTGAAACACAAACTGCACATCTTGAAAGATACACTTTATGTACAGCTTACAGTATGATTACCTTGTGCTGTGATTTCCGATCTTTCCTCAGAGACTTCTGCATTACTTGGAATTCATACTCAGCCCTGGGATGGTCCTACGATGGTTACACAGAGAAAAATGACAGAGATTCACAGAGAAACACATTAACAAGCGAAAGTGAATTTACAAGATAGATATGGATACTTCAAGTTTCTTCAAGAATCATATCAATAGGGTGTTCATAAAAAATATGCTAGCATAACACAGACATGTGTCCAAGAAAACAGTAAGTAGTTTGGAGTAAAATGCTCCTTTTCAGTGCTAACAAAGTAATCCTATTGTGGCTATGTTCGCTTCTCAGGAACAGCAATGACGTTCCTGGGTCAGTTTGACCCACGGCATGTTTAGTTATCCACAAATGTCAAAAATCCCAATAAGCATTGTTTATATCTCATTAACTCCTTTACGAACCATTTCAAGCAATATTTAGTGAAGCGGTGTTTAGCTCTCACAGATCATGGGTCAATGAGGATAATCGTTTTGTATAAAATACGCATGTTAAAACTTTCTTTAATGTACATCAGAAAGACTGACATAAAATACAATAGTTTGACATCCATCATCCACCATCCATTATCTATACACCACTTAATCCTCACTAGGGTCACGGGGTGGCTGGATCCTATCCCAGCTGACTTAGGGTGAAGGCAGGGGACACCCTGGACAGGTCACCAGTCTATCACAGGGCTACACTTAGAGACAGACAACCAAGCACACTCACATTCACACCTACGGACAATTTAGAATCACCAATTAACCTCAACATGTTTTTGGACTGTGTGGGAGGAAGCCGGAGAACCCGGAGAGAACCCACGCTGTACGGGGAGAACATGCAAACTCCACGCAGAAAGATTCCGGTGCCCCCAGCGGGACGCGAACCGGCAACCTTCTTGCTGCGAGGCAGCAGTGCTACCAACTGCGCCACCTTGCAGCCCATAGTTTGACATGACAATGAAAAATAATATTTTACATTTCAAAAGGTTTTATGGAGTGATGTTGATGAATTTACATGAGACACCTCCTCTGTTCAGGGTCAGATTAATCCACTGACTTAAGATCAAGACACGAGTCATGGTGATTTGTGTATGAAAAGTCTCCAGAGACATTGTGGCATGAAATATGACCCTGACTGTCTCTGCATCCCACAAACTGGCTGTTGATCCATCCTTCATTATATAAACCCCAGCCAGGGTGTGGACCACCAAATATGCATGTAAATGCATTTCATCCAGCTGCTTCCCCAAAACACTTGATGATGACTCATGTGACTCGATGTCTGTCACATGAGTCACTGCCACCTTTGTGGGCCTTGGCACCGTCTTCATTACGTTTTCTGCAGACAGTTTTGCCTGGTGTATATTTGGGGATGAAGACCACTGTAAGAAAGAAACTAGTGAACTGCTACTTACAGCAGGAAATGAGGGGAGAACCTGACAAATCAGATAAGCCACTTGGAAGTTAAAAGTTAAATAGAAGATTCCTCAATCGTGTGGAGAAACAGCTAACACAACGACATAGCATCAGAACCTGACTCCTGAGATAAAAGCTGGAAATTCTGCACTTGGAAATTGGAATGTAGTGCTGTGAGTAGGGGTTTATTTTAACCTATCCCCTTAATACAGATGCCGTATCAACCAATCAAACCCGCTCACCCCAGACACACATTACAATAACATTTCTATAACATACCCCCACTACAATACCATGACCTTACCTACTGCTTAGCTGTCTCATTTGACAGCTTCATAGGTAATGAAAACAATAGATACAGCCATACTTATCTATTTGACCACTTAGTGTTTGTGTGCGCATGCATACATATGTGTGTATAGTGGAATTTAATATATATATGCATGCAATTCTTGCCTATAGTCTGAGTGAACAGAAGAAGAAAAGCGTGAGTTGGAAGAAAATAATCACGTGACCAGAAATATTGCCTTGTTGTAAAGATGGAAGTTATAATTGCTACAGCTCTTAGAACCTGGGAATGGGGTTTCTTTGTGAAGAATGATGTAATTAATTGACTCATAACATCATTATTATAAGTCTTTTATTGCAAGCAAAATAATATAATCCATATAAATAGGTACAACCAGTTTTCCAAACACTTATTGCGGCTGTAGTTTGTGTGTTGTTGTATGAAACAGAACTACATTTATTAGTATGTCCAATATATTTCCGTTCATATAAGACAATACCATTTGCCTTATGGTTTAGTCTATGGTTTTCTTGGATCCATCCCAGGTTCCTTTCAGTTTGATTGCCAGAAAGAGGCAAATGTGATAAAGTGAGCAAAGTGATTTTGAAATGAAACAAACCTGAAGCCTGCTGATACCAAGACTTGAATGGGAATTTGAACTTCTTTTATGTGGAAAATGACTGTTGATGCATTTATACATTTGGTCCCAGCACTGTATTACATTTTGAAATATTGTAAATATTTATTAATACATTTGCCAAATTAAAATATAATGTAACATAAAGCTAAGCTGTTCAGTCTTGTGTCATTTATTTTTCAAATAAAAATGTGTCCTGATATTATCTATTGGCCCGACAACGGAACGAGGTACAATATATGAAAACCACATGAGCACCAAAACATACGCATTTTGAACATATACTGGTGTTGATTAAAGAAGACTGTGCAGTGACAGACATGTCAGACAGTATTTGTGTTAATGTAGCTGACTTGGTAATTTTCCGATATAATCCATGCTCCTCTGTTTGTTTTCCTAGATTATATCATGAAGCACTGGAAAATTAAAACAGAATCATTTAACCATAGCTTCTTCATTTTTATCAAATTTAGGTGTATACATATTTTTACCTTGAATGTTTTTAATGCTGAATCTGCAGGAATGTCAGTCAAATTGTTTAGCTTGGTAACTGATGGTCACATTAAAGCCATTCTTAGGACGACTTGGCCTCACGTGAGCTCTAATGCTCCCTTTGGAAATGTTCAGATACTGTGTGGCAAATTAAATGTATTGTTTATGCTGTACCTGGTGTAAGCATTTGCATATACCATTGAAAGTAACACAAAGTGTAATGATCAGAGGTTGGCAGCAGCAGGAGAAAGGATAACAAGCATAGAGAGAGAAGCTTATTTAACAATTTTATCCAAACCTTGAGAGCTTCCTGTGAAAAACAAACCCAGAAAGAAAAAGATTAAGTAAAGGAAAAACAACCAGAAACCCTTAATTCAGAATATCACATCATGCCATTGCATGGCCTCAGTGTGTTAGAAGGCAAATTTCAGTGAAGTGAAATACAAATTTTCAGAACCAAATACTTTGAATCAACAATACCTGAGGGGTTTACCATGAAGCAAGTTTGACATAGCTGGGCTTACACAAAGAAAGCCCAGCTCGATAAAAACGAAAGCCGCAATCAGGGATAATGAATATCACAAAGGTGGTTGTCAACTTTCTTTGTTAACTCAGGCTTTTGCCTCAAACTCTGTGCTTGTTGACTTAAAAAGGGGCGTTTAACGTGTCAGGTGACTCTTCTTCTGCACAAAATGAACCGATCGTGTGCAGCTGCTACAGTCAACAGGTTGTTGTAATGGAGGACAATAAAGAATATAAAATAATTTACAGTAAAAAAGCGCTGCTGCTACAAATGGTGCAAGAGAGAAATCCTGGTAGAAAACTGATAAACATGTGTAGTATATTATATTTTATAGATGCAGTCGCTTATTCCTAACTGACAACAGCACATTAAAGGTAACCTTAAAACATAATATATTTAAACATGATCTTGAAGTGCATTTAGCTCCTATAGAGGTCCTGTCCTTTAATGCAGGAAATCACTTTAATTTTTGGTCAAATCAAAGCAAAATTAATGTTATTGGTTAAATATTCTCCGTAATAAATACCAGTCAAATAATCCATTTTCTAATTTGTTTTTAATCAGCAGCAGTGTAAACGGACTTGACAAAAAAACATATTTATGTGATTTCTATGTGCCAACTCAATACACGTCTGGTTCCCATGGCAACGTGGTGTATACAGTGTGTGACACTGTAACTGCACGGCTTCATTCAGTGATTTTAGTAACACGCAACTCAGCATGTTTGCAGATGAAACATATTTCTTCAGCTGAGAATCTGTATCGCTCATAAATAATAGTCAGGAAACGATCTTCAACAATTTCCCTTAAAGGCCAACAAGGAAAGTTTGCAGTTGAGATTGATACTGAACACCCTTCAGGGCTTGGATATGTCCCAAAAAACAACCAATCTCATTTTAAATATTAGTATAATATTAATTTTATCAATGGGGTCCATAATACATAGAAACTTTTGCGATTGTGAAGTGGTTGGGAACATTATTGTACAACTATACTGACATTGTTTTGTTTCACATGCCACAAAAAACAGCACAATAAATTTAGCATTCTCAATATTCACATTTTTCCCATATATACAAAACCAAAAATGTAAAAATTCTAAAACAAAAAAGTTACTGGTTTCATTCTCAATATATATTGATGACCTGTAAGGGCAAAATACACAAGTCCTAAAATGCTACTCTCAAGTTCACTCATAACAAATGCTATAGACTGTAAATGATGTGATTAGCATAGAATAAAATGGCAAAAACAAAAGTGAGACAAACCAGTGAAATGCAGAAAATACTGCAACATATGCAAAAGTCAAAGCCCAGACATTAAGGAAATTCATGTCAAACAAGAAATATCTTTAAATCGCAAAGCATGCAGGAAAGGGGGAAAGACTTTTTTTCCCCCCTTGTCATATCGTGAATTCTGTCATTAGCAGTGACAGTATTTCAAGGCCTACAAGTCCCATTAAGCTCATTAGTATACCTAAAGTCTTCTTAATGATGCTTTAAACAGTTTCTGTACTCCTAAGGTTTGGTTGATGTTTCATTCTTGTTTTTCATTCCAATAACAGCTTATTTGATTTTCAATTGTGTAACTTTGTTCATAATTCTACAAATTAAAAAAAGCCAAAACAAAACACTAGATGCTAAAGGGGATCAAGCCTAGCATTCTAATACGTGCACTAACAACACAGTTAAACACCCACATAAGGCCATTACCACGTGTGAAACCACATAGGCTTAGGATTATGGAACTCTCAAATGTGGGAATTATGTGTAAACCAACATGCATACAAATACCTTGAAAAAGTATATGTAATGTGTACTTTAATCATGTAAAATGTTTGATAACAGATGGTCTTTTGGTACCACTCACCTCCTCATCTTCAAACCCAGTAAGGTCCCATTCATAGTTTAATCTCATCTGCCTTCTCTTCCAATGCTCCATGAACATGGCAGCTTTGAACCAGAAAGAATATGATTAGACTAACACACAGAGATACAATTTACAAGACTCAACTATAAAATGTGGCAGTTCATTGAACAAGTTTATGGGGTAAGGTTTTTACAACAGGTACATGGATGAGTTGGTAGGCAAAGGCAAAAGTAAAGTATGAAGCACTTATCAGCTTCACATTTTTACTGCACCTTTAAAGTGTTGTGGTCACATTTGGGAGTGTGTTAGATATCTATCTCAAGTAGAAGTATTGTTTGTCTTTGCGTGCAGCTACTGTTGCCTTGAGACAGACCCAGAATCCCTGGTACTTCTTCCCCCCAACTGACACCCCGATTGTTCAGTAGCAGGTAGTAACCATAAGGATCAAGAAGAGGTGGTAACAAAATGAGACTCTGCAGGGGTGTTCTGAGGCCACAGACTGGAATGTCATGTACTCTGTGAGCCCATTGAAGATGACATCAGCTCCATGACATCACATAGTACATGAACCTCTGTGTTGATAAGACCATACCCACCAAGATGCTACCCAAATAAACCCTGAGTGTGACCTGAAGGAGCTGTTGAACAGGAAGAAGAGAGGCTTTAGTGATATTTACCCCTCAACAGCGCAAGGCTAAAAAAATATACATATATTTTTAACTAGTAAATTTCCTATTTCTCGCTGACAACATCTATCTTTAGCTCAGAGATTTCATCAAAAAAGCCAGCAGTCATCTAAATGAACGTATCCAAATACGTAAACGTTTCTTAGAGTTGCACCTTCGCAAGTAGAACAAGGGATTTGATAAGTTTATATTATGCTGTGAAACATTTTGCTAAAAGCTCCAGGTAGTTTCCGTCACTGAGAGATGCATGTGCAAATTGAGCAGCACCAAAACACTGATTTTTCATGGACACGTTTCTTTATTTGAAATAGCTTAACGTTTAATTTAATATGCAGCTTTTAATACAGTTGTGAACAAAAGCTTACATCCACTTGTAAAGACCATGTATATCATAGCAGCCTTAAGTATCCAATGACTCCTACAACTGTTGACTTTCTATGATGGAATGATTGAAATACGTGCATCAGAACAATACATTTGGGTTCTTTCATAGATTTGCTACAGGTTTTCTTAAAATGTGAAAAAAAAATCTACTGGGTCCAACATATACATACAGAAGAGTTTTGTTGATGTAGAAAGTTGTGTTGATCTGATTTTCTTAGTGTCATGGTTCTTTCTCCAGAGACAGCACTGAAAGGCTTGTCATGGTTCGCTGACCCAAAACCCACATGCACACACTAACAGGGTTGATTAGATCAGAGACTTGGTGAACGACTTATTTACAAGTAGTGAAACAACCAGATGGACTTTTATAAAAACACATCCCAAACTAACAGGAACTTTAGATGGGTAATGGGCAACCTAACCAAACAAAATGCTAGACTAACAACAGAAAACTGAATGGCAAAGACCAAAAACTCACAAGAGGCAAGGGAAGCTTCTCACAGAGCACACAAACTAACACAAAACACAAGACAAATGGTTTGCTGAACTAACAGACAGGGTTTTAATAAGACCAAAGCAAAGCACAACAAGGCAAGGGAAAAAGTTTACTGACAGAACTGGCTGGGAATGGGCAAGCAGGAAGGCCAGATGGCGAGTTCAGAGTCCAGAGACAGTGGCAACGAGAACAGGTAGCAAACGATCCAGTGTGGAGAACAGAGAAGAAGACAGGGAACCAGTCTGCACATGTATAAAAGACAATGATCTGGCAGCGTGAGATCTGAGCAGAAGTTTTATATCGAGCAGTGTAATTGGTGGCAGGTGAGCCAGCCTCTGTTCAGGTGCTGCTGATTAAGCGGCAGCTCACAAAGACAGGGAGAGAAGGAAAGGAGGAGCAGAGAATGCTAAAACCATAGACTGTATAAAAGATGGATGTAGCAACCGGCCCTGAAAAATGAAGCCAACCTGGAAGTGTCAAAAACCTGCAACATCACTACGGCTGCTGGCTCCAAAAAGCCCTGGCTCCCATAGACTTGAATTGGAGAAGAAGTGATCACAGATCATGAAATACTGCATTCCTACAGCTCAGGATTTTTTTCTTATTAGTTTTCATGGTCAAATCCAGAGATCAGGTGGCCAATCTGAAAATAAATCAATACTGAATTTTTAAAAAATCGTCAAAATTTTGCGGGGCAAGGGGCGTGGCTGGCTTGATTGACAGTCGGCAGCGACGAAGCAGACGAAGCGAGCAGAAGGCGGTAAATGTGGGCGGGCAGAGAGGGCCCGCCTCTCAATCCGTCTGACCAATCGCTGCTCCTATGTCTCCGCCCCCCTCTGACGATTTTTGCGTCACTGGCTCCAAAAATCCAAGATGTCAACCAGGAAGTAGCAAAACCCTGGCTTCATTTTCTCAGTGCAGAAACCAACGGGTGACGTCACGGTAGCTACGTCCATCTTTTATACAGTCTATGGCTAAAACACCAGGGGCTTGGGCAGGCATCCTGACACGGGTCAACTGAAGTTTCCTGCTGATCACATGAACTAAAAAAGCCGTCTGGAGGCAAGCTCTATGGACAGGTCGAACAACAATTGTACAATTTGGCCACGACGACCAGCAAGAACATCACACTTCCTGTCAAACATGGTGGTGGTAGTATTATGCTCAGGGTTGTTTTGGTGCCAGTGGAACTGGTGCATTAGTAATTCTAATTATGGAAACAGGATCAGCCACAAGGTTTGGTCTTGGATGCCGTTGGGAGTTCCAACAAGATAATAACCCCAAACTCACATAAAGGTGAAAACGGCCAGCGGGCATTTAACCAAATATTACAATTGTGTGTCTGTATGTATATTGCTGACTTAGCAGATTTTGTCATATTTTGGAATACCAGTAATAAATCTATGAAAGAGCCCCAATGCATGATTGTTTTGTTTACAATCATTCCATCATATAAAATCAAGAGTTGTAGGCAGTGTGTGATTTGTGAAAAAAAAAAAAACAGAGAGAGGATATTTTAAAAAAACAATAATTTAATGAGTATTTTCATCTTCTGAACTGAGCTTGAACAACAGCAAATACATTTTCTTCTTGAAGCAACCACCGTCAACACATTAAATTGTGCTAATAGTATTTTAACCCATGTATTTATGTACAATAATTATATTTACTGTTGTTAGAATATAATGTGTATTTATAGAATCTTTTATATTCTATAATTGTATAAGCTATACTCTAGCATCCAACAATGAATATATTCCAATAATCAACAATAATTATATTCTAAAATCCAACAGTAATTATATTCCAACATGCACCATGCCCACATGGTGGAAGAAATTCAAATTGAATCATCTCGGTCCAGAGGCACCAGAGTAGAACAGGCTTTAGGTTATCTTGCACTTTGGTTTTACCATTTCATGCTGAGAGAAAAATCTGAAACACAAAAATAAAAATGGAAAATTTGTATTGATCTGTACATCCATTTTTTTTCAACCCAGGCTTAGACATGGGCGATATGACAACAAATATTTGTTTATCAGTGACAATAATTGTATATTATTTAAAAAAGAAGAAAAAAGAAAAGAAAAAAATACGTACCCAGCTCAGCCTCAGCTAAACAGTCACGTTTGAGGTGGGACCTCTGGCTTTTTTTGGCCTCCTCCCCATCCCAGCATCATCATCAGCATGTCCGCCTTCTTTACAATTCTGCATGTTTTTCAGTTTCATAGTTTCAGTCTCTTAAAAGTATGGCTCTTGGCATTTTCCTCTTTTAGAGAGCGTGTGTACACTCCATCCTTTTTTTATCATTGAAGTCAATGGTTTCAACGTAGTATCAACTTCTGCTTTTGCCGTGACTGCTGTGGCATCCCTTCTCTGTAAAAACAGAGATAAGGCCTTCAGGGTCTCCAGTGCATCTTTCACACAAGCCATCTCCCATACGAACAACCACCGAGTCATGTTCGCATGGATCCCTGCTCTCTCTTTGGCTGACCGTGTGTTGTTTTCAGACAGATTCTGAAACAGTTTAAGCTGAATAGCTCTCCTACAAAGCAGTCACTGACATGCACGAGGACGAGAGCCAGTGGACTTCAAACACTTTATCCACTCTTCTTGTACAGACACCAAGCTCTGTGGCCACTGCCTTTTGTTCTTGCATGTGTTTGGGACTCTGGTTGGTTGTCATCAGGGTAGCAACCCCCGTGTATCTTCCCATTATAACGGAAGCCCCACCTGGAGCAAATCCGAGCAACCAAGCCCGCAGAACATCCTCACGAATTCCTTGCTCACTGAGACACTTCTGCAGAGTGTTGCAGATTGCCTCCTGGTTCCATCTTCCAGCTCAATCAGTTTGTAAAAAAAAATTACAGCCCTGGGGTCCATTTCACAAAGCAGGTTTAGTGAAAACTCTGAGTCTGTTAACCCTGAAATGAGGGGAACTCTGAGTTTTCCGTTTCACAAAGGGAGATAACTCAAACTAGAGGAAGAGGGGTAACTCTAGCCTGTTTCACAGAGAGAGCTAACTTAAGGCCTCGGTCAGTTACCATAGTAACAGACTCTATGAACCTAACCCGGACCAGGTTTTTCTCAATGAATTCAGGTTTCTCTCTGTCTCCACCCTCTTTCAGCCACACACACGCCATTTGATTTCCTCATTCATTCAATCATTCATTCATTCAGTCAGCAGGTAAGTTTTGGCGTAACCTAGTTCTGCCATCTGTCAAAAATCATTTAAAAAAAAGTCAGAGTCAGTCGGCTGTATTAGAAGTTCGTTAGAGACAGTAGGTGGAGACTTTTTCCACCAACATGGCATGTCCTTTTGTTAACGATACTGTGGATAAAAGTGCAGCATTAATGGTTGGGAGATGCTTATCAGACCGTGCATAGATGTTCTGTCATTTCCAGACAGTTGTCTTTTTGAGCTGTACCGTTTCACTTCACAGTCCATCATCTACACACAACCTAATCTGTCCTTACATGTGCAGCATTACCAACTATAGTCATGCTCTCACATCCC